TGGCCCCCAGGCAGGGTCAACCCACCACAAGACCTTATAACAATTGCTGCTGTCTTTATTGACATGTGCAAGTTATTTCTCTTTTTTGGCTTTCCTGCCCTGATGGTTGGTGGTGGCATTGTAAACACTGTCTGGATGAGGTGGGGTTATAATTTGGTTTTTGGTTAATTAGAAATTTATAAATTCTTCAGTTCAAACTCAGGACATGGTCATTCTGTCTACAACTCACTATATCTGCACTGATTCTGTGTACCTATGAACAGTGTCCATACTGCCAGTAATTCATCTATGATAACACAAGTTGTACATAAACATTTACTATTGTATTACTGGGTCTAATAGTTGCACAATCTCTGACTGCACCTCACTGTTCACATCATTTAATGGATAACTTGAGGTTATAATGACGAAAATATGCATACAAGGACATGGCTGTAGTGTCCTGCTCTCTTTAAGAAAAAACAGATTACTGAGATACTCTATTTTTGCTCGAGGTCTGCTTGCTTTAATTCAATACATACAATAAAGTATATTAGATTTTACTCAGAGTTGAAGTTTACCTAAATTTGTTACCAGTCTTACTTAAGTAAGTTAGCCGTAAGGTTTGGATTACAGTTGTTTTAATGCAGTATTTTTCTACATTCATCTGATGCCTTGCATCAATAAAATCTATTAAGGACTTGTTTTTCTTTCCATGTGATCAGAGACACCATGGACAGGTGGGTCTTGTTTGCTTTGGCCAGCATCAAGGTATAAGGAAGAAATACTGACGTGTGAAGAGCAGGCTTTTCCAGCTCAGAAAAGGATGGGGTTCATTAGGATACCATCTGGAGTAGCTTTTGAGGTGGGGGCATTGACATGAATTACATATAAATTAATCTGATTCTTCTCCTCTGGCATATCTGTCCCAGACTCAGTAAACATTCCTGTTCTTTCAGAAACTCAAATTCTGTCCCATGAGGAAAATGTGGGAGAGGCCTTTCCCCCCCCCCCCCCCCAAAAACAAACTAACATTCTCTCTTTTCTAACTACCACCTAGCACGTAGGAAAGTAAGTGCATAGCCAGTTAACTTTCCATGAATTCAACAGAAACTCTTCTAAGTGAATCAGTCACTATCTCTCTGCTTCTGTATTCTAAATGTTTCTGTAATTTGCATCATTTGAAATTGTCATATGTTAAAAAACCCCTTACATTTCCTAAAAGTGAACTTCATCTAGTCACTGTGATCTCTGAGTTCCTCAGCCAAAGATCTGGTTGGTTTTTGCACTCCTCCCAAGGAACCCTTACCCAAAAGCAGGGTTCATGGTTCTTGCACATTAAAATGATGGAGCTATTCTGAGATTGCTGCAACAGTCCATCCAAATTCATCCTCTGCTTGGTTAAATTCTTGCTTTATCATCAGAAATGAGAAAAGGATTAATAAACTCCCAGTGGTCCATCGTATGGCACCTTTGTTACCCTCTCAGGGAGAGGAAACCTGGGCAGCAAATCCTGAAAACTACAGACCAAGCATTCTTCAAATTTGGTTTTAGTGTAAGTTTCAAATAGTCCTGGACTTCTACATCCCTAATGGATGAGGTTTGAGAGTACTGTCCTGATGTCCTATAAGCTGCTTAATTAGTAATATCAATTATATCTTGCCCATTTCCAACTCTGACAGCCTAAGGCAGCCAGCTTTGCATGTGTCTGGGAAGTACTCCACACTTCAGAAATGCCAGCAAGCGATATGTGAGAGATTTTTATGTTCAATTATCACAGCCTGAATAGTGACAAGGGAGGACGTGGCGTAAACTCTACCCTTGAATAAAGAGAAAACATTTATTTTAAAATCTAGTTACCTCCCCAGGAGCCCTATCTCCTTAACACTAACTTGGGAGCTTGAATAAACTCTTATTGAATTTTTTGGTACAGATAGTTTAGGAAAGTTTAATCTGATATATAAAGATAAACCTAGTAATAATATACTGAATGTCTGCAATTCTGTTCAGTCTATGTCTCCCGACTGTATTCCTCTTCAGCTTCAGAAAGATTTTTATAAATCCCACATCCATTTGGAGTGCATGAAATACTTGGGATACCAGCAACCTGCAAAGTATTTGTTTGTTTCAAGTGCCACTGATGCATCTGTGAGGCATTTCTTTCTAAAATGTCCCCAGATTCTTCTCTTTTGTGGATTAGCATGTAAAGCTATTGATGCCAACAAGTCAAAGAAGATTTTAATCAAGCGATTTGACTGTGACAACAAAAACAAAAGTCAAATTGTGTTCACATGCCACTCCAGCAGCAGTTACTGGTTTTTTTCTTTTTTTTTTTTTTTTTTAACTTCCACATGAACAATTCTAGGCCAAGTGATAAAAGCATATTTCACCTGAGGCACAGCCAAGTGGAGACCGAGCTGAGCGGCAGGGTGTGTGAGGAGGAGGTGCAGCGCTGGCTCCACACACAAGCTTGCAGCGCCCGTATGGTCAGAGGGCTAAGGGGGGCAGCGTCTGTCCCCCCCAGCGGGGCTCCTTCTGTCTTCCAGCCCTACCCTGCTGGAGCCGTGGCCTGAGCTATCTCAGGGAGCAACCATGACTGGAACAGAAAGGTAGCAGAGGTACCTCCTCTGGGGTAGAGAGGCAGAAAGCAAAATTCAGGGGCAGCAGGGAGAATCATGTTTTCAAGTTAAAAACCTTTTTAGGATCTTTTTCAGTACTGGGGTTTACATGTCAGAGCAGCTCTTGCCTTTCTTGGAGTGTTTCCTTGACCTCTCCAGGGGCAGACGGCTGAGTGAGCAGCACTGAGGATGGACGGGATGCACCACCGTGGGGACCGTGCCCAGGGAAAGCTCCTGGCTGCTCTGCTGCAGGGACACTTCCCACTCTGTGCCTGACTGTGCCGACCCCGGTGCAAACCAACAGACCTGCGTGGTCAACGGGATGACTTTGCAGACCATCATAACCAGCATGCGCAGTCTCATTTGCCTTTCCCAAAATGTTGCTTCTCACATGCGAGACAAGGGGCTCCTGGAGTGTATCAGACTGGCTCGGGGAGTGCGGATCAGCTCCCATGCTTCACCATGGCTGTCTGCAGTTCTGGACCCCATACCCATAACACACCCAACAGTCACATGAGACTGATACTGCCATGGGTCAGTCATAATCTCTCTTGACCAAAACTTCCTCTGTGTGATGAAAGACTAGTTTGGCTTACAACCACAAGTCAGGTGTGAAAAGGGTGAGGTGCTGGACAAGCCACCAGCAAGCATGACCTCGAGACCCTGCCTGTCTTGAATAACTGCTCCCAAGCGGTACAGTCCCTCCCCTGAGTATGAGCTCAGCTGTTTTAATTCCAGGATGAAATAAGTCCTGGAAGGTACCTCCAAACTTGTGGGCTGAGAAGCAGCAGCACATGGGATAACAGAAATCATGTGATTTCAGCAACTCCTAGATAACATACATTGGTGTTCATGGGGTGGGAAGCCACAGAGTGCTTCTTATATACTGCATTTAGGGCAGCTCAGTGCTAAGCATGGTGCAGGCTGTGTGCCAGTGATGTGAAGGGCAGGAGATGCAAAAGGCTATGGGGTAAGCATTGAGGCAAGGACCGCTCCAAGGCATATGTGGCGCAAATGAGGCCCATTTGCTGCAGAAAATGATACACACACACACCCCCACACCCACCAGGCCCAGGACTGCCAAGTTTCACATGCTATTGCCAGAAGTCCCAAATAATGCCCATTTCTCACACTACATGATAAAATCCGTTTCAGGTACTAATATATTACCCTTTTCCTATGTTTTCACAGTTTTGAAGAAATTTTCCAAATACCTAGGCGAATACTGTGTTTTATATACACTGGTATACTGTGTTTATATGTAATCTGGTTTTCCCTTCAATGTACAGTGTCTCGGTCAGAATGGGGCCAAGGCCCATTAAGCGTTAGGAACACCCTATTGATTGGTGTGTAAGGCTGAGGAACATGGATACTTAGTGCTTATACAGTCTGAAAAACAGCAAGGGGGAAAAGGGACAGAAAGGTGCAAAAGGGACAGAAAGGCTCCCTTTGCAAAGATTTGTTCTGCAGCAAATTGGCAAACCACATTTCACACATTTAGTATCAGTTTTCTTTCTAGTGTTATCCTGGCAATCTATGTGGTATCTCTGGAAAAAAAAATAAATTCTGTTTTAAAATTTCACAACACAGCGTTCATACTAAAAAATAGTTCCACTGGCTCAAGCACTATTAAAATATACAGCATTGATATAGGTACACAACAGAGCGATCACATTGCTTTCTTCTAAAGAAACTCAACTGCTGCTGCTGCTGAGAAAGGCTACAGAACAGGAATGATCCAGGATCACTGCCACGGCTTATGAGGAGGTGGATCTCTGTAGGAAATTCCCCTCCTGTCTACAGTGCGTGTAACAGCTAAGGAGGTACATTACGGAGAGGTTCGCAGAGGATTCGGCAGGTCCTTTTCATAAAGCCGTCCAAAAAGCGTCACTGTTAAGAGGGGTTTTGATGTGCCATGCTTACTTTTCAAACGTCCATCACGTAGCACCTAGTTGAAAAGAGAAAGAATGACACTAATATTCCACTAATAGAGTAGCAGTACTGCATGGTACAGAAAGGATAGGCCTTAGAGACTGGACATTTTGATGCAGCACTTTTAAAAGACAATCATGAGAAAGAAAGAAACCACAATTCACTCTGGCTCTGCCATTGCCTTCCTACATTTCTTTGGACCTGAAGGTCTTTAAAACTTCCTTCAGCTCCATCTGTGGAAAAAAAAAAAAGATCATTTTCTCTGCTTCATAAGAAGGTGAGAATGACAATAACTAATTTTTTAGGTTCTCATTAGTTACTCATACATGGCAATGCAGGTTATATACATATCTAGGACAGTAATTTTAAATCTTTTTTTGATTTGTAGACCCCAAAACAATTTCCAGATGGAAACAGAGAATTTCAGGCTACTGGCCATATGTTTGTTTTCTTAGTTACTTTTTACAGATCAATTTGAAATCACTGTTGTTCATAGACTGTGAACACGTGCACTTTTTAAGAGCCTCTGTGACAAACGATAAGCATGCATTTGATAAGAAAATATAGAATATTTTTTTACATTAGACCATGATCATATTTTAGCATACCAAATCAATCTGTTGATGTGTATGTTTTTACAGAAGTGCCTTTCAAAACAAATAGGCAGGGTGAGCAATGTTTTTCCATTCTCTACCTTTTAAAAAATCACCCTTGTTTCCCCTAAAACTCTTCAAGTCATTTTCGCTGTCTTCGTTGCCTCTTGTAAGCTGTTAAATACCTCTTCCAAATCAATTATGATTTCATCTAGCCTCTTACATAAACCTAGTCTATGAATGAAAACATGTTTTGGCAAAAATATATGATGAAGTCTCAAATAAAAAAATAAACCCTACAAACCCCTCAAAAATACCTTTCAATATTTTGAACTGCATAGGATCTCTACTCTTATCCATGATACTCATTAGTAATTTTTCTTGCTTGGACAATTTCTCAGAGTATTTGATTTATTTGTCTCCTAAAATGCTCATCAACAGAAACCTGTAGAAAATACCTCCTTGGAAGTTGCTATTTATAGATTTGTGACCTGAAGTGGGAAGGCATATTTGCTAAAGAGAACACTGAAGAGATTCTCAGCATTAGCATTTATACATTCTCATCAGTAAGGATGAATTCAATCCATCCTTTTAAATGTCCTCTTGAGTTATGGTCTGCAGAACCAAAGAAAGTGGTTCTTGGAAGGGACTTTGCTGCCATATTGATTTCCAGCACCACAGCCTGGAAAATCTTGCATAAAATGGCTCCAGGGTGCCCCATTACCTCAAACTCCCCAGGGGCCAGCTGCACCCCGCTGTACAAGACTTCTGGAAAGACGTAGTTGGTGCCAAAGGTGCCACTGAGGGAGAACATCTCAAACTTGGTCTGAGCCGTTTCCGCCGGCTGCCCACATGTGTTCAGGTCTGTGGTCTGGCACTTGAGCAGCGTGCATATCTGCGGGGAGGACAAAAGCAAAATACTGCTAAGCTTTCGACAATCCAGAGCTGGATTTGATAACAAGAAAAGTTCTCATGATGCCGAATTGGACAAGGGTTTTGGGTTGGTTAGGATGTAGGCATATAGAACCCGCACTCACCCCCATGAAACCAATTACCTGCCAATGGTATTTTATGAGAGAACCGTGAAGCCCATCAAATGCACCCAGGACATAAACTTCATCTTTGCTCTTGTTTGGCATCCGATAGACCAAATGACAGCAGAGGTCTCCTTGGCAAACCGTGTAATTTCCAGCTTCGTGCCTGAGTTCACTGAAAGTGAATATATCCCGCCGGACAGCTCCTGAGAAAGTGTCTTTTTCTGGAAATTTCTTGATGCTTGTGGCATACAAGCTCCAGTTGACAGCAGGCGGGTAGGTGGGGGAAAGACGGGGGCGTGCGCTCAGCTCGGCTAGCAGGAGACGTCCCTCCTCTGTCCTGCTGTCGTAATGGTAGGCGGCGGGTCCCTCCGGCGTGAACAGCCCGCTGCCTGCAAGGACACCCACCAGCCCTCGTCAGCCAGCCCCCCGGAGCACGGCATGGTAGGGGCCACCCCGGCGGGCTTTGTCGGTGATGCTAGTTTCAGTCAACTTGTTACAGAGAATTTTGGGAGAATTTTGAAGCACAGAACCACTAAAGTACCCATCATAGTATAAAAACCTGACCTAAACTTCACAGATGTTGTACTTCACTGGATCTTGAATCTGAGCCTTAAATGCCAATTTTACACATGACCATCCCCCTTTTTTTAAGAACTTAGGTTATTTTAAACATAAATCAGAGCTCTAAGAGTGGCGTATTTGCCAAAGAAGGAAATCATGTGGGTAATTGCGTTTCACGGGAGGAAACCCAGGGCTGTGGCCTGAACTCAGTTTAGTCTATTTATGGCAGGCAAAAATGTTCCTTTGTGGCTTTGGCTTTGGCTTCAGGAGAGAGTTACAGATGCAGCTACAGCAACATTTTCTCACATTATAGAAAAAAAATGGCAGTAAATATCTATTCAGATCAAACCAAAACATAAATATCTCTAATTCTTCAGGAGCCACAAAAACCTGAAAATGTTTTATTCCATATCCAAGAGGAATCCTCCTTTTAGTTTTAGGTTATTAAGTTTGTTTAAAACATTTTTTCTCCATTTAACTATTGATTGAATTTTAAACAAAACCCGCTGCTGCTAAATGAGAGGCTGAAAATTTAAGTGAAAATTTGTTCTATTTTTGAAATAAAATTTCACCTTTAAATGATCAAAATTTAATGTCTTGGATTACTAATTTTACCTCTCCCAGAACATCCAACATTTTCTTGCCTGAAGCTGTTTACTACGTTCAATGCAACATCAAGAATATTTTTAGTCCGATTGAAACACTGTTTTCCACACACGTCTCTATTTGTAAAGCATTTCTGCCTGCTTCTGAATCTGGAACTCTGAAGACAATTTCCCTTGTCCCATATGTAACTAAAACTTACCTGTCATTGCCAAGCTGATGTAGTGAGTATTTGCTGAAAGCAAATTGACACCCATGCCCATAGCCCAGGCAGAGTGAAACTCAATTGCAGTCAGAAAGGGCAGGACGTTCATCCAAGCCGTGGGGAAGAGCACGGTGTCCACCTGCAACTCGCTCACCAGGACCACGGCAGGCTCACGGAAAAGGATGTCGAAGCATGTGAAAATGCCAAACTTCCCAAAGGGGGTCTCAAAGGTGACGGCTTCTGGCTCTTTAGGGTAATTAAACTGATTTTCTCTTCTAAACAAGTTGTACTGCAGGTGAAGAAAATGGCATATTAAAAACTAAAAATAAGGCAAGATTATGAACAGCTACTTTTGCATCTGAGATAGGCTTTAAGGCAAAGCTGGGGGTTGAGATACCTGAGCCGGCCTGCACAGCGTGTTTGCATCCATCCAGCTGACCCTCTCCCCCTGCAAAACGGCGTGGCTGCGCCCCAGCTGCCCCCTGGAAGCAATGCCTAGCTGTCTGGCTTAGCTAAAACTGTGCCGAGGACCAGCTAACATTTACTGAGTATGGAAAAATCTCACTGCTTCTTTCCCGTTTAGTATCATAAATGTAGCCCTTAGGTGTTTGGTATCCAGCATGCGCTCTGCAGCTGTGGTGCTCCTGGAAATAATGCCTGATCCATCAAGCACTTGCCTACTTTCCTTCTGTCCATAAGATCCTTGCACCAGATCATCCTGGACTGGTTGTCACTCTACAACTGTGTAAAGTTATTGTATAAACCAGCTGAAATTGGTACCATAGAGGTGAAAAATATACTGATAAACAATGACAGGAGTCATTACCTTGTGGTAACGAGCCACCAGTTTCCCCTCCAAGTCAAAGACGACGTCGGTGTTGTACTGATAGGGACCATCGCTGGGGCAGCTGGGATCACTGGAGTTACACGACTTCTTGTCCCCAATGTTTGCGACCACATAGATGGAGTTATTCCTGGCCATGCAGCTGAGTCGTTCCTGCACTGGTGCTGGAGCAAATCTAATCAAATTTTTTGGTGAAATAAAAAAAAAACCAAACCAGAAAATTTTACAAGTTTAAGTTCAGATGTGGAAAAAATGCATTCAAATTTATTATTCCACTAACTGTGTATCCCCTGGTGCAGAAAAAGGGATAGATCAAATCATAGTTTCTGTTCAATTTCTCCTCTGTTCATAGGATCATTTTGATCTGCCAGTCTCTTTAGCTTTAAAAAGTGGTCTCCTTGTGTTCTTTTCTCCTGTACCCTTAACAGTGTTATTTTCTGTGAGGATATATTTCCAAGCTAACACACATAAAAAGATATAGGCAGCTGCAGAAAACAGAGGATAGAATAAATCTATATGCTGTCATAAACTTAAAATAACTTAAAAATTTTTCAGGCAGATCTAAGCCTTGGTTTAAAAACACCATTTTAGCCTTCTTTAAGACTCTTCACTTTGTTTAAGGCAGATGCCCATAAACCTTTAGTAAAAAGTGGCCATAGCATTTACAGAGCTGAGGACTCCTGAAATCTAGCTTCATAAAGCCTCAGAAGAGAATAATAGAAAAGCTTAACTTAGAAATGAACCTGGTCCTCTTGGTGTCCCCTGCTGACCCACATTCAGAGCAGCTCTGTGTAACACAGCAGACCATGCAAGCCAATGGGTTTCTAAAAGGCACTTCTTTCAGAATATTTTGTGCAATTTGATTTAGAAATCACCCAGCCACATGAGCTGAGGACTGAATCACCTTGTCTAATCTATGCATCTGACATGATAATAAACTAGCTTATACTTACATGAGATTTTCACAATTGATCTGTAGTGATAAAGTTTTACATGTTTTAAAAATAATGATTTTGCCTAAAATTTCCTCATTTTCCTCCTTTTGCAATTTTTAAAAGTGAGACTGTCTCAATGCTTTTTACCTTGCATATTCCCATTACCATTTAATTAAGAGTTCTTTTTGATGCATCTCATTTCTATTGTACGTGGTATTTTTAATAGCTTAAAAAAATTAGCAGTTCTCAGGCATTTATTCGTAGCATCTCACGACTCCAGGAGACGCTAGTTTGAAAGCACATAAATCACGGCAGAAGAAATCACCTTGTGGGATCGGTGCAGGGAATCCAGTCCACTGCCGGATCAGGGATATCCTCCAGGTAGGGGTAGATGGTTTCTCTTGTGAAACGCCAGCCGTAAATGCCGTCTTCGGGAGCAAGGAGGTGGGCGCCCTGACACAACAGGCTCCGTTAAGAATTCACTCATCAACAGCTAACCGGGAGGGTCAGCAGGTGCAGAAAACACTAATTAGCAACGCTCACAACACATCTAGTACCTGCTGGGCGGCTTCCTTGACGGCCCCTTCCAAGATATCCATGTTTTTGTTCATCAGGGCCAAAGCATCGTCAGGAGAAACAGGCTCGTCAGTGGCATCTGGCAGGATGACTGCATGCTCGTAGACGGCTGCAATGAAGGTGTCGGAGGCAAGGGCCTGAAGGGCTGCAAGGGCAAACACCGCAGCGTGCAGGAGAGGCCGGGCAGGGAGCATGGCTGGTGCCTCGCAGCTCCTGGATTGGGCATGGGGAATATAAACCAGATAGAAAGAGGAGGAGTAAAGACTAATAAGTTTGCTTTGGAAATTATCTTCTATTGAGTAATCTGGGAAGGTACAGTAGAGTTCTGCCAACTATCAGGACATTTATTTATAGTGAGAAGTCAAAGAAACATTTCTAGGAATTGAATCTTGTTTCCAATTTGAAATGCTGCAAATAAAACATGATCAAAAGGCTAAAAGAGCATGCCAGAAGCCATGCTGATCTACAAGACTCTTCATGGAAGGAGCATTTACACACTCTGTTCATACATCCCTCTCCAGACTTCCAAACCCATCTCGGGGCAAGCCCAGGCTCCCCTGGTTAGCGCACACTACTCCACATAACCTTAATGCTCGTGGCTGCCATCGGTTGCAAATTCAGCCAGGGCTGAAGGCAGACCACCCGCGTGCAGTACAGCCCTCATGCTTCACAGTGTAGCCAATTCATCTACCCTTATGAGACACGTGGTCCTGCTATGCCTCTTGCCTTTGGCCAATGGGCTTATTATAGTTGTAGCAGGTGCCCTGAGAGCGTCCTCCCTCCCGGGCTCACACTGCAAAATAAACTAACCCTTGAACTGTGCTGATCTCTCTGCTAACACACTTGCTCGTTTCGTGAGAAAGAATTAAACAACACAGATTTTTTTTTTATTGTTTTTGTTGTAAGAAGCAATTTTTGCACAATAAGCAATTTGAAATTGCTCATACAAAGCGATTTTTTTTCTTCTGGAAAGCAATTTTTGCATAGCATTTTGGAAATAGCATATTACTACTATAGTTTCAGGTGCTTCATTAAAAACCCCCTTTGTTAGAACCTGTGGTACGTCTATGAAGGTAAAGAAACACAACCTGGCCAATCATATTTCCTGCTCTGTAAGAAACCAAGGAATATGTTCTTTATCCTGACAATATCTTCCTCTTCACTATGTAATTTCACCCAGAAATCTTATTTTTGCCCATCAGCATCAACGCTTACTGAGGAGAAGCTGGCACTTCAGTGTAATCTGACAAGACCAGTAAAAAACACTGGAACAGGCTTCCTGGAGAGGTGGCCAATGCCCCAAGCCTGTCAGTGTTTAAGAGGCATTTGGACAATGCCCTTAATGCCATGCTTTAACTTTTGGTCAGCCCTGAAGCAGTCAGGCAGTTGGACTAGATGACTGTTGTAGGCATCTTCGAATTGAAACAGTCTCTTCTATTCTATTCTATTCTATATGTCTTGAAAAAGACCACGTTGTGCTTGTAGGCGGCTGCGACGTAGCTGTTGAGGGCACAGGCCTCCAGAGCAGACAGCACCAAAAGCACGGCGGAGGCACGAGCTTTAGGAAGCCCCATGTCTGGAGCCTGGAAGTCGCCCAAGAGGAAGATGGGGCAAACAAAGCCAAGGGGCTTTAAAAAGGAAAGTCTTGCACAAAACCTGGGAATTCCCCAGAGTGGCAGAAAACCGACACCACAACATGCAATCACCCTGCCCGGAAAGTCTCACATCATCAAAGGCAAGAGAGCCGCCAGCATTGAGCAATTCTGCCTTATACCCCTGACAGAGAAGTCACCACTGTGCTGCAGCTGAAGAAACATGTCGCTCGCCAGATGTACAAATGATTCAGGTGTGGCGTTGCTGTAGAAACTCAGTTCAAGGCAAGCCCAGGTCAGAGCAGGAAAACAAGCCAGAGTTTGGGAAATGTCAGCAAAGACCAGCTCGGACACATTCCTGCCCAAACTGGAGGGCACGGGGTGCAGGCAGGGCTGCAGGAAGCAGGTGGCCGGCCCCCAGCTCGATGCTGCAGCATGGGCGCTACCTGTGCCACCCCACCTCAGCACAGCACCGGCTCAGAGTTGTGTGGCTTTTGGGGGCTGCTCCGCATCGCAGGGGGCTGCCAGGCAGGCTGTTTGTCTGAGCAAACCCTTCAGCACATCACTCAGTAACTGAGCTCTGAAGATCTCATGTCCCCGAAGGTCTCTGTTGTTAAGCACTGTGAATGGAAGCCACAATTTCTAAATTTTGCCTATTACAGCCTGCCTTCTTATGTCTATATCACCTCATCAGAAATCTTGAAGCTAAAGCTGCACATTCCCCAAAATCCCTTGTATCTGGTTACCCAAGGTTCTTACCTTCTCTGGTTCTTACTCAGCTGTCAGGTAATGGAATGCTTTTTTGCCACTCTTCCCTGGAAGAGGTGTTTATTGTTATCCGTGGTTACAGGCAGCCTTGTCTTTTATACAGACTGAGTCGGTATGTGCATTATGGGTAGACTTGCATAGGATTACTTTCTGTATGCTTGACTCATTTAACACAACACATTTCACAATGATAAATGTTACGCAATTTTTGCAGGAAAAATAATTTAGTGCTATGATGGCTTATGCCAGTCTTCTATAGGAAAATATTCAACATACAAACATACCTAAACCAAACCACAATGGCTTTGAAACAAATCCTGAATTCAAGATACTCACCAGATTCAGGGTTGGGATCATATGCTACTTGCAGACACATTCCCTCAGCCAGAGGACTGGTATCAGCAGTGAACAGACCCGAAGGAGGTGACTCTGAGCTCCTGGACCAGCCACGCGCTCTCACTGAATCCCTTCTACATTGCAAGATGAGACCTTCTTGCGTGCCATAGCCTCCTGCAAATCCAGATCCTTTCCCTGGGAGAGAGTTGCGGTATGACCCACAGGTTCCCGAGGCACAAGTACAGTCTCTGCACTGAGTCTGTACCCATGGGAAGAGGATCCCATGGGATAATCCCTTGCCAGACTGGGATCAGTCTGTGCCAGACAGTAGCTGACTCCAACAGTGAACAAGGTTTTAAGAGAGTATGGCTCTGGCAGCGTTGAGATTTCGTGAGTATCTTGTCTGGGGCTTTTGATAAACATGTCACATGTTAGACATGACACTATGTTATGTCACATGTGAGTATCTATTTACATTTGAAAACAGAAGAGGTCATATGGCGCACAGCAGCGATAATCAGCGCTGGGGTTTGGATACTATTAGCACTCCCAACTTCTCACCAGCTCTGTAACAGAAGTACATGGGACTGAGGACCTTGAGAGCACCATGCTGAGACCAGGAATGGTCCCCACATGCCAGTATGGGGAAAAGGAAGGAGAAATTAGACTAATAGGGGTCTCTGACCACTCTTAAAGACACAGCCACAGACCGTACACATCTTTGTACACTGATGCGTTGAAGGAAGGTCACTAGGGTCCAGCAGCAGCAACAAAGCACGGGTCGCTGGGGGAGAAGAGGAAGCAAAGATGTGCCTTCTCACCAGCAGCAGCTGGTCTTCAGTAAAAATCTAACCCCCTCTAATCCATACAGTAAATGAATTTGCAGGGCAGCACCACCCAGCATTATCATGAAGGAGCAAAGGACAAAGCTTATTTCACATATGTTGGTGATGATACACAACCAGAAAGAAATAGAGAAGATGGGAGAGAGGAGCAGCTATATGATACCAGATCACCTGGTGACCTCTTTACTGGATGCAAAGAGTTCCAGCACTGAATAACATCCAGCGGAGAAGCTACTGTTCAGAACGGGCAAGCAGAATATTTTGAGGTTTCAATTCCCAATTTTGGTTCAACAGAGGTTTCAAAGAAATTATGATTCCTGTTGCATTCTGACCAAGCAGCGTGGCAGGTTTTGTTTCAGGGTTGCGTCTTTGACTGGAGTTCTTGCTCAGTCTCATGATGCACTATTCTGTGCTGCCGTGTGCCACATGACATGCACCGATGGCATAAAAGCAACAAAACCAAAGCAACACAAATAGGGAAAAAAATGTATAAGTGGGGTAAAAGAGCAGACTTGCATAGGTCAGCATAAGTCATCATATATCAGGGACAAAGCATTATTGAGCTTTTTTGTATGGAGCTGCCACAAATCACATCTTTCACTGTTTTATTTACTGGTCACATAATAACTGCAATTATAAAATATGCAATGCTATTTTAATAAGATTGTATTCACTGGCTCACAATATAGATTTTCTGAGGGCTAGAAAAATAAAAATCCAGAAAACAGAAAGAGAAACACAACTGCTGTTTTTCACTAATAAAAGATTAGTAATCTTATGATATAGAAATAGACACTTCTCAATAATATTGCTGCATTGTTACTAAACAAAGCACATTGATAAGAAGTTCGTGCAACTGGAAATAAGACACATAATGGGGATTGTTGTAGTAGAGGATGCTCTATCTCATTTAGACATGAGATTAATAGTGTACAGCTTCATTTATTGTTCCATCATGGGAAGGCTGGTGGTTGTGGGTCTTATTTCAGATGATCCTTTTCATACCATCGTCCAAAAAGAGTCACAGTGACGACTGGTTTTGTTGGTTTTGTCTTACTTATCAAGCGCCCATCTTTTAATACCTGATTGAAAAACGTAAGAGAAGGACATAATTAGAGGAGTACCCATATGAACATGATAAGAGCTCAGAAAGATGTGACAAAACAGGAAGAAGGTACGTCAGACTATATCTCTTACTGAAACTAGTGTCTTCATTAAAAGGTATTTAATAGATCTGATGATTCACTATGAGCAAGGTCACTTTGGCTGTGCTGAGACAATTTATGCCATGACTACCCTGCAGAGAACCTAGCATGACACAGCTCCAGGGTGCCCCATTACCTCAAACTCCCCGGGGGCCAGCTGCACCCCGCTGTACAAGACTTCCGGGAAGACATAGTTGGTACCAAAGGTGCCGCTAAGGGAGAACATCTCAAACTTGGTCTGAGCCGTCTCCACCGGCTGCCCGCACGTGTTCAGGTCTGTGGTCTGGCACTTGAGCAGCGTGCATATCTGCAGGGAGGAGAAGACAATAATATATTTAGCTAGACAGAAGCAGTCTGGTAGGAAAGCGTTGTGTCATCAAAGCTAGTGTGTGTCAGAGCAGGTGACCGTCACAGGATCTCTTTCATAATCTTTAAGCAACTCCTTTTTAGTTGTAGCTTGCTTTTTTCAACCCTTGATCTCACTGGGGGTATTCCAGAGCTGCACTGCCTTAGTAGGTAGGAATAACCTTACTTTCTGGTGTAAGTGATGCCAGAGCACCTTATTTCATCCCTGAAGGTCAATCCTGTCACTGCCACTAATCCTTACAATTTCCAGTTCTCTCATTTGAAGATTCCCTTCTCACATGTCTCAGTACGATGAGTTTGTGAATGGAAATTTTAGACAAATCAAACAGTTCTCCTCATGGGTACATTGTGTAACTGTATGTACTCTTACTGGTATTTGTGCATGTTGCTAATGACAATTCATTAGATGGTCTGTTAGTCCATGGAAAAAATGAACTTGATGTTCTCCATCCAACTCCTGGTGAATGTATGTCAAGGCTAGAAAGTCAGCACTCTCTGTTACAGTTTTGTGTTAGCAGTTGTAGCACATAAAGGAAAGTAGGGATGGCAATGTTTTGTCCTTAAAGTTAATTCTCCAGGTTACAGCTGATGAACAGTTATGGACACCATGAAGAAATATGAAACAGGGCTAGCACTCCTGTGTGAAATAGGGCTAGCACTCCTGTGAAACTTCAAAGGATGTTGGCGGTTTTTGCTGACAGGTGAGGGAGGAGTTTGTCTATTTGTGTCAGATATTGGGGATAGAAGAAGCACATTTGCAAACATCAGAAGTATTATTCATGAGCAAATATGGTTTCCTGTTGAAATGCAAATAAGCAGAAAGAAAGAATCTAATTCTCAGTATGTTCTGAGGAAATGGAAAAAATACTGAGGGGAAAAAGGAAGAGTAGAAATTCCTGTCTTCTCTAGAAAATGGTACTGGTAGAGACCATCTCATAGTTTCCACTGAAATAAATTTTCCAAGCGAGCTCACCAAGAACTGAATTTATTCAAGCTACCTTCTTAAATGTATTACATGAGCTATTTGCTGGCTAAGACCTCCCCCGCATATCCTGAAGTCCGTACCAGCTGATATGCAACGGCTGTGTTGACAGACAGAAGTAACTAACTAAAAACCCAATAATCTGCAGGCACAATAACTTAATTATGAAGGCAAAGGTTTTCTAATATGGCCTTAAGCAAATTCAACCAGGATGTAACTCACTGTCTTCCCAAACTTTGATTAAAAGAGAGGAAGAGTGGACGTTTCCAGTAAAAGTCATATGTCATTTCAGTAAACTTCATTATTATGATTTGAGTAAGGACAAAAAATTAACATCTTGGTGAGACTAAATTATCAGAGCATCTCATAAAAATAAATATGATGAACTGTTTTTTTAACAGCAACTGTTTGATGAAGATTACAGAGGAGATTCAGAACAGTTACTGCAGATAATCACAAAAGAAGACCTAAATTCAGCTAATATTGCATGACTAAAAAACTAGTGAGCACACTCTGGGAACTTAAAAGAGGTTACAGACCTCTCCACTACAGATGTTGGATTCAAAGGCAAGCAGGCTTGGATGTTCTACCAACTACTTCCTATTGCTAACAAATAAGACACCAGGACTCCAGCATACAAGAAAGCCATTGTCTTTTTTTCCCCCACAGAGCTGAAGGTTTCTCCCTGTAAAGAAGCTTCCTAAAATAAGTACTCCACCTCCAACGAATCATTACCTGCAGGTAGTATTGTCCTTCAACAACATGAAGCCCATCAAAAGCACCTAGCACATAAACTTCTTCTTCTTGTTTTCCTGCCATCTTGTAGCTCAAGTGACAGCAGAGGTCCTTCTGGCAAACAGTGAGATTCCCCTCAGGCTTAGTGAGGTCAGTGAAATTGAACCAGTCGTAGAAGATGAGTCCTCTGAATTCATGGTTATTCGGTGAGAATCTTTCGACACTCAAAGCATATGAGCTCCAGTTGACAGCAGGTGGGGAGGCAGGAGAAAGGCGAGGGTGTGAATCTAGTTCAGCAACGAGGAGGTGACCATCCTCAGTTTTCATATTGTAGTAGTATGTTCTGGCTCCATCCGGTGCATAAATACCACTCCCTGAGGAGAGCACAATAGTCAGTCCAAAAAGAATAAAAAATTTCATATTATCCTTTTAATTGTCCCTACTGCTAGCTTATCTGCTATTTTATAAATATTACAGAAATTTTAGTCTCACCAAAGATGATTGTTAGCAACTTGGTACATAGAGCTCATGCTTTGGCAAAGAATAGCATTTATTTCCCTGTGTGAGGTCTGCTCCATGTAGCCAAAGGCAGAGGGTGCTATGTTATGGTTGTATTTATGGCCTCCCCAGTTCTCTTTTCTCCTGTATGCAACAGAGTTGCTTAAGAATTCCTTTATTTTTGGCTAATTGATGTAAAAGGACCATCTACCAATTCAAACCATCCAAAACACAACACCAAGTATCACAGGCCTCTCCTGGTGAACAGAAAAGGAGATAGCAGCTGTCCAGCCCCATTTACACTGTCTGAGGACCTCTCCCCACGTGGGGAATTCACACTTGACTAGTGCCAAGTGACAGAGGGAAATCAAAGAAAATCTGTTATACCCATCACTGCCAAGATCCACATAAAATGGACAACAAGCAGTTGAGTAGCACCAAGCCAATACTGTGGTTTAACAGCTCAGTGAAGATCCTGGTCTAACTATAAGATATTCATCTCTGCCATAAGCTAAGCTCTAAAAAGTCAGTGCCACACTCTTTAAAAAAAATGCAGGCTTCTTAGCAACATTACTGCAACAGGTCTGAAAATTTCTTTTTAACACTTTTTCCATAACTGTGTTAAATACAGCTACAAATAAGTCTTTCATTTGGCCAGAGTAAATGGAGCCATGCATTGGGTTTACAAGTGTATTTATCATTTGGCATTCGGTTGCAGACTTACTGGTGGAGAGGATAAGAACTTAAGTTTCAAAAGTTTCTGCTCAGATAGAAGGGGCAGTAACTTACTTCTTGTTTACAAGCATTAAAAGAAAGAAAGGAAAATCCTAAGAAGCCAGGGAGAAGAAAAGAAAACACTGCAAGTTTTTCTGCTCTTTGTATAGCACCAGTAGGGACAGAGGTTGTCAGGTTTCAAATTCAGTGATTAGGCTCTTAACCTTCCAAATAAATACATTCCATTCCTCTGCAAAATCACCCTGCAGAACAGGGAATAACGATTCATGGCTATAAAGATTTTTCAGACAGAGTGAGAATTAATTACCTGTCATAGACATGCTGGTGTGGTGTGTATTGGCAGCTAGGAAGTTGACACCCATGCCCATAGCCCAGGCAGAGTGAAACTCAATTGCAGTCAGAAAGGGCAGGACGTTCATCCAAGCCGTGGGGAAGAGCACGGTGTCCACCTGCAACTCGCTCACCAGGACCACGGCAGGCTCACGGAAAAGGATGTCGAAGCATGTGAAAATGCCAAACTTCCCAAAGGGGGTCTCAAAGGTGACAGCTTCTGGCTCTTTAGGGTAATTAAACTGAGTTTCTGACATAAAGAGATTATACTGTAGGGGAAGGAAAAAAGATAAACCAGTTAAAAAAACTTACTGCAATATCATGGAAATATCCCTAGAATTTTTCAAAATTACAAGAGAAATTTTTTAACCTGTATTTGAAGCCTTCACATGTAGGAAGTAAGGCTAAAAGTGCATGATCCCCATAGTGCCCAAAAGGTGGATATAGGGAGACCCATACTGCCCTGGTGTCTAGCTAGGAAAGCGACCATCTGCAGGTCTGTTGGTGTCAGCCAAATGCAACTCCCATAAAAATAATCTCTCCAGTCACCCCACCTAGCTTATAATTCTGGTGACCTGAAAGACACACAGAAGAGAAATAATAATGAAGAGGATCATGGAGCATCTGGTGCCAAGAGACAGGATTGGCAACCTTGGTGTGGAGATGCACAGAAGACCTGGAAGCACACAGCACCAGCAGGAAGTGTGAGACTGAAGGGAGGCTGCAGAGCAGAGCAGAAGACAAAGGCAGTGGTGATGAGGGAAAGGCAGATGACCTCAGCCAACAGAAAAATCCAAGTTTGCGACATTCTCAGCTTTTCAACATTTTCATTCTTCCTTCACATTCACGTTTACTAAAAGTGTCCTTTAATCTCCAGGTGGCCAGGACAATAAACACATGTCACCGAGCCAAAAAGTAGGTTCAAGTTTACTGAACTTGTAACTTGGCACCTGGGCCATGCCAGACTGACGCACAGGGGACCAGCCTCCATGGTATCAGCGTCCACCTCACCCAGTTTGCTCACAAACAAATGTCTCAATGTAATCTCTGAAGAGCTACGTGACATACTGGGACCAAAGTGCATTTAAATAAACAACCAAATTAATTCTAGCCACATCAACATGCTATCCAGCACACAATCCCCAAACAACTTTGATGAACCTTGCAGGTAGGCACATAAAACTGAAAGAAGATACTTTCATTGGGTACAAATATTTCAATGCCCTCATTTCTTTTTACACCCAGCATGGGTTTGTCCAGGTAATTATACAAATTATGCAAAAACTATGCACAAACATCATCAGAAAAAAAAAATCAATAGGAAAGGGCCTGTGTTCCTTAAACCAGACTATCCATGTAAGATGAGATGCAGATGAACATTTTAAAATCCTGGAACATGAAGGGTTAGTCTGGTGAAAAGCTGGCATTGAAAAATAAAGCTGCCCAAGCAGCAGAGTTTCCAGTAATGGGGAATTAATGAAGTGAGGAAGTCAACCAAAAACATACGCTGCTAAATTGGACCTGAGGAATCATTTTTTATTCTAGTCTGTTTTGAGAAACATGACAGCAAATGCAAATTTGGAGTCAACACTTTAGAGAAACAGAAATATTCTTTTAAATTATAAACAGAAGCAAAAACATGCCAAGGGAAAATGACTGGTATTTAATTCTCTTGCCGAATGGACAAATTTTGGAAGTTGTGAAAAAGTAACTCCTGACTTTCCAAGGCCACTTTACCTTGTGGTAACGAGCCACCAGTTTCCCCTCTGAGTCAAAGACGACGTCGGTGTTGTACTGATAGCGACCATCGCTGGGGCAGCCGGGATCGCTGGAGTTACACGACTTCTTGTCCCCAATGTTTGCAACCACATAGATGGAGTTATTCCTGGCCATGCAGCTGAGTCGTTCCTGCACTGGTGCTGGAGTAAATCTAATGTGTTTTAGCCAAAAAAAAAAAAAAAAAAAAAAAAAAAAAAAAAAAAAAAAAAAAAAAAAAAATAGAAAGAACTAACAAAATCTGCGCTGTCAGTGGTGTCCATTACCAGGCCCCGAGGGCACATCAGCAGCGCCTGCAATTTTGCAGGTCCTGGAGCCCTCCCGTCGGTGTCTGGAGGGACATGCCGGCCCTGGGCTGCCTGCCAGAGCCCCTCGGCACCCAGAACGTGCTCTGCTGCAAGCGGGCAACCCTGCGGCTGGGAAAGGCCAGGAGGAGAATCGCTGGGCAGAGGAAGAGGCTAACTTGGTGTCACACAGGAGAATACCTTAGCGTCTGGCATAGCGGCACTGAGGACTATAGCTCTGGGCCCTCGACACACCAAGCAGACTCAAACTGTGGAATAGTGGAGCTGATGTGGTCAAGGCAATTATCTTCTCCCATGGACGGGAGCACACAGTCCTCTAGCCATGGCATGAACAGCAGTGGGATATTCCTTTCAAGATGCGACAGCCCATGTGCCATAAACTGGCAGCACCTGTAGGCCAGAAGAGAGCAGACGTTGCCCTCTGTAAGGTGGCAATGCACATGGCTGTCCTGGCTTTGGCTGGGGTAGAGTTAATTTTCTTTCTAGTAGCCAGCATAGTGCTGTGTTTTGGATTTAGGATGAGAATAATGTTGGTAACACACTGATGTTTTTAGTTGTTGCCAGGTAGGTGCAATGTCTACACTAAATCAAGGGCTTTTCAGCTCCCCATGCCCTGCCAGGTGCAGGAGAAGCAGGGAGAGCACAGCCAGGACAGCTGACCCAGGCTGGCCAAAGGGATATTCCCAACCACAGAATGTCACGCTCCAGATAGAACTGGAGAAGCTGGCCAGGAGGTGGGATCGCGGCTTGGAAACAGACTGGGCACTGGGGGTGAGAGGGGTGTTCCGCATGTGTTGAGCAATTGCATTTGCGCATCACTTGTTTTATTATTCTTATTTATTATCTTCTTCCTCTTCCTTTGTTATCTTCTTAAACTGTCTTTATCTCAACCCATGAGGTTTTTTTTTCCGTTCTCTTCCCCACCCCCTTGTGAGGAGGGGTGAGCAAGCAGCTGTGCAGTGCTCGGTTACCAGCCGGGGTTAAACCACGACAAATGGCTTTGGCATACAGGAGGACCATCATGCAAGATGCATAGGTAGCACCAAGGGATAGGGCATGCCAGACTGATAGCAGGCGTTATATTCCCACAAGGTGCTAATGAAAAACCTGATTTGGGGCAGTGAAGGGACACACTGATCACGTTCACAAAAACTGTGTGGAGAACTGGAATAAAGACCCGCCACCCCACAGCCCACACTCATTGAAAGACTCGTACATTTTAGCTACTTATGTCTCAGTAAAAAGTTGCACATCCTGCACTTCTCCCCATTGTGAATCTTCCTCTCAGGACAATTGAGGAATTACATCCTCACAGATGTAATATTATGGTCTAAGCACCTCATCATCGAGCAGGTGCAGAAAGCCATGGTGAAAAAGGCAGACCACAGCTGTAGTTCCATGGCTGAGCATGTACACATGGTGTATGGAACTGAAGTCCAGCACTCGGCTACAGGTTATCACAGTCCTGCTGGAACATGATCCGTGAATGACAGGTCATGTTCTACAGCACAGAGTCTCTAGCAATTCAGACTTTATCTTAATTGTGAAAAACTAAGATTAGAACTTTCTGGGTTTGTATCACTGAAATGTTTGGACTTTGACTACTGATCTCATCTCCTCTGTTATTAGCTGCTCAGAAACTAGTTCTTTGTTGTCCACAAAAATGTGTGCTTTTATTTGAACATGGCATTTATAAAAAATCCAAACAAACCAACAAAACAAATGAAAACTAGTGTGAAAAATTTCCATTCAGCTCTGTTCAAAATACTGTGACAAAACTGAAAGCAGAATGAGAAGCAGCATGTTTTGGCATCAAAGCTTTTTCAAATGTGAAAAAAAGAAGTTTCCTCTGCATTGAGCAACCCAAGTTCTGTATATTGTTTGAATGTCTCTTTAAAGTGTCCAATTCAAAAAACATATTTGAGCAACCCAAGTTCTGTATATTGTTTGAATTTCTCTTTAAAGTGTCCAATTCAAAAAACGTATATTTTAAACAGGGCTCCCTAGACATTTAGTCACACGGACATGCTGTATATGTTATCATTTAACTTACCTTACATATGCAACTTGAAGTGAAACTTACCCTTATGTCAAAACCGTTAGCAGTTCTCAGGCATTTATTCGTAGCATCTCACGACTCCAGGAGACGCTAGTTTGAAAGCACATAAATCACGGCAGAAGAAATCACCTTGTGGGATCGGTGCAGGGAATCCAGTCCACTGCCGGATCAGGGATATCCTCCAGGTAGGGGTAGATGGTTTCTCTTGTGAAACGCCAGCCGTAAATGCCGTCTTCGGGAGTCACAATGATGTGGGCGCCCTGACACAACAGGCTCCGTTAAGAATTCACTCATCAACAGCTAACCGGGAGGGTCAGCAGGTGCAGAAAACACTAATTAGCAACGCTCACAACACATCTAGTACCTGCTGGGCGGCTTCCTTGATGGCCCCTTCCAAGATATCCATGTTTTTGTTCATCAGGGCCAAAGCATCGTCAGGAGAAACAGGCTCGTCAGTGGCATCTGGCAGGATGACTGCGTGCTCGTAGATGGCTGCAATGAAGGTGTCGGGGGCAAGGGCCTGAAGGGCTGCAAGGGCAAACACCGCAGCGTGCAGGAGAGGCCGGGCAGGGAGCATGGCTGGTGCCTCGCAGCTCCTGGAACGAACTGAGTCATGAATAAATGGTGCAAAAGGATCTTGCACAGAAAAGAAAAGAGGGATAAAGTTTAACTTTGAAAGAGGGAGGAAGTGCTGGTCTGTTAAAGCATTACCTTGGAATCAAGTGTTGCTAGTAACACGTGGAAAATTACAGCAGTACACAGTAAAGATGTCGCAACTCAATGAGACTAAAAGATTGAGCAATGCCAAGAGTAATTGTGGCAGTAAAAAAATAAGTTATTAAACACATGGCTAGAAATAACGGTCCAATTTTTGTTGTTATACTTTTTTCTGTCATTGATTACAACAGTTTTGCTGTGTATGTTGGCTCAACTCTGATACCTGGGTGAAAAGTGGATGTGTCACCCTTCTGTGAAGTATGAGTGGCAAAACTGAGGGTCTTAAAAACTGTTTGCTTTATTCTAGTGTCTTCATATTCCCCAGTTCCTGTGCTAGGTACCGTTATGTGCAGCTTGCTTCCCAGAGTTGCTTTAAACCAAAGTTATTACATAGCATCTCACTATACTTAGATATAATACACTTAACGTGCCAGCAATAGAACTGTCCCTTGCTTTTATCCCAATGGCTCTCCCATTTGCTTCTGTCTAGCTGTACATCACTTTCCAACAGCTTTCCACCAGAAAATTTGCGTCTAGAGAGAATGTTTTCCTCTGAAATCAGGCAGGTAAGCCACCAGCCAGACCATTAACTGAGTGCCTCATTGCCTGGCTGCCACTTGCCTGAAGCAGAAGGGCAGGCTAGTTCACCAGGTGCATCTTTCCTGTCCCCAGGAATATGCTGTGTATTAAGAATACTTATTTTTTAATCTTTTCCTTCAATTCAGTTCAAATGCACTTTTCCTTATTACATCTTTTTTTTTTTTTCTTTCTAATAGTTGCAGTGTTCTCATTTGGAAAAGGTTTTCTGAATAGTGGGAAGTAGAACAGCCTGCCTGCCTCCAGCTACCACAGAATTCATTGTAGAGTTGTCTCTACAATATCTCTACAGAGATGTTGTGGGTGAATGCAAGCACCCTGCAAGAGTAGCGCTGACTGAGGGTTTCAAGCATTAGGAACATCGATTTGGATCTGGTAATATTCACCTCTACTAGATCTCATTGCGGCCTTCCAGTACCTGAAGGGGCCTACAGGAAAGATGGAGAGGGACTGTTTATCAGGGAGTGTAGTGACAGGACAAGGGGTAATGGGTTCAAGCTGGAGGAGGGTCGATTTAGATTAGATGTTAGAAAGAAATTCTTTACTGTTAGAGTGGTGAGGCACTGGAACAGGCTGCCCAGAGAGGTTGTGGATGCCCCATCCCTGGAAGTGTTCAAGGCCAGGTTGGATGGGGCTTTGGGCAGCCTGGTCTAGTGGAGGGTGTCCCTGCCCACGGCAGGGGGGTTGGAACTAGATGATCTTTGAGGTCCCTTCCAACCCAAACCATTCTATGATTCTATGATACAGCATGCTCATTCAGAAGCCTTAAATATGAGCCTTTAAAAGGCTGCAATAGAGATTTCAGTGATAATTGAAGTAATGTAGCTTGGAAGCCTTCCCTCCCCACCCCCACCCATTTTTCTTATCATATGAAACATGGCTTGAATCACATTAACCACAGTCAGACCTGAGTTGGAAGGAGGAAGCAGTAAACACTCCCTTGTTTAGCAACAGCTAGGAAAACAGCCCAGAAAAGTGACTACCCTGGCAGGGCTGAGCAGGAAAAGTTTCAAGTGCAGGGGCCGGGGCAGTGCCCTGCAAAGTTCACCTCATGCTGCCAGGACAGGGGGGTGTCTGTAGTGCGGTGGGATGGAGGCATCCCTGCCTGCCTCTGTACCAGCAGGCACCGCCGCCTGCTGCCTGCAGAGATGGGCAGCTCCCCCAGGAGCAAGGAACTAACTCCCATTAAACAAACCAACCCCCTGAATAAAACTTAGCGAAACTACAGCGTCCAGGCTACACATGGCTGTGGGAAACGTAAGAGGAAATTTATCCTAGAGCTCCCTCTACTTTTCACGCCGCCATCTTCCCAGCCCACTCTCCTCACCCCTCTACTGCACTCTTCCCTGTCTCCCCGCTACTGCGTGAGGACGGCGGTTATCTGAGGACTTACTTTTGTGAAACAGGATGTGATTTGATGCTAAATCAGCTTAGCTGTGGAAGTACTCCATCTTCACATTGTGCTCCTGCTCCTTTCCTTGTGCTCAGAGAGACTGTGTGGAAGACTACTCCTTATTCCACGGGTTAATCTTGCTGTGGAGAAGCCTGTGCGAAGGGTCACGCCTGCGACCATGCAATCACTGCAAAGCAGCAAGGACATATGGGCAGCGGTGAGGAAATCAGAAGCCACTCATTTTTAGCAACACCACATGGGTATTTTCTTCAGCTGTAACAGGATACCATGTCCTAGGGCGCAGATATAAATGTAGAAATGCAGTACTGTCATGGTTTAGCCCCAGCCAGCAGCTGAGCACCACACAGCCACTCACTCACTTCCCCACCCCACCCA